GAGAGCTGGGCAGTTCAGAGGCACATTGGCAGTTCTTCTGAGTCATGGCTTGAGCTCTTACAGGGTAGATGTTGCTTGCTGAGCTTTCCTGTGGCAGCAGAACGTGGTGGCTGGGACTGTGAGCTCTGCTCAGAGCTGGCCTGCTTGCACGGAATCCCGCCTCTGCTGCTTACAAGCTGTGTGATCTCAGGCAGGTCACATAAACCCCCGTGCTTCCGTTTCTCTATCTATGAGTGGGGAAAATAATCAAATCCTCCTAACCAAAAGATTGGAAAGATGAGGAGTCAGTCCCTGTATGATGCTGCATCATAAGGATTATGTAAATGGTGATGTCCACGACAATTGCGTTGGCCCTGATTTCTCTGTATTTTATCTTTTCCTATCACTGTAATTTATAGTCCTATCTAATGCTTAATGAACTTGTTGGCATATGACCCAAGACTTGCCACCAAGGCAATGAATGACTTAGTTTTTGAGTAGACACAAGGCACCTACTGCCTACTCCGTGGTGTCAGTGCTGTTCAGGGGAGTCATCTAGGGAACACAGAAACAATCGGGCCCCGCCTGAGACCATCTAAATCAAACTGGTGGGCAGGCCCAGGGATGATTGATGTGTTTCCTACCCTGTGTAGGAAAGAGTTGAGAATTATCAGCTGTTAGTCAGGGCCACACTTTGACAGATCAGTGAGGAATGTGTCTTGCTGGAGTTTTTTAAAGACTTGGCCGCCTGGTCCACTGGAAGGAGAGCCTCCTACACTTGGCTGTCCGGGCCTGACTTGTCTTGCGTGAATTAGAAAAAGACATTCAGCTGCAGAAATGTCACAAGCCGTTGCTGTTCGGTGGGTGACCGGTAGCCGCAAGATTGATAACTAGCTACCAGGTTGGGCTGGCGATGTTAGTGAACTCCACCAGGACCTGTGCCCTGTGGATTGCTTCATTCTGGGAGGTTCCGAGCCTGCCAAAGCTGCAGAGCATTCCTCCAGCACACCGTGTGCTCTCGGTGAACCTGAACTTGATTCTCTTTCTGGCTCATAAGGAGCACAGTGATGAGCCCTGTTCATCTGGGCCTCCTAAGACTCCCTCATGTCATGCTTTCAGGACCCACCTCCTCCGGACGGGTGGTGAGGAGTCCTCTAGGATATCAGCAGACTGGTCTACCTGCCAATGGGAAAAACAATGGTGCCACTGTATGACGTTTGGGGATCAGAGGGACGGGTGATAGCTTCTCAGGCCATGGATGTATTTCTCAGCACAGAGTCCCATGGCTTTATAAAATACTCCTAAATTCAGATATCATATTTTGTTGCAACCTGGTTTGAGGATGAAATGAGGTCCTGGCAGCTGATGTTTATGGCTTTCCATATAAGCTCTCAAACAAAATTTGTACTGCATTTTGCTTGAGTTATGGTGGAGCAGGATTGTAAACCTCACACTGTGAGGTTTCAGATAAAATGCAGGCGTTGACCCCAATAAACAAGAGAGGAGGCACAGCTTTAAATTTCTTGCAAATCAATTTTTGAGAGGTATAAAATATTGACAGAAATGATAAAAAAAATAAACCAATCCACAATGAGAACAGAGCATATTAAACCTGGCATATATTTTAATTTCCTCTTTTCCACATTTATAAATAAGTCAGAATTTAAACCTTGCCTTGGGCTTCCCCTACATTTTATGAGAAGGTGAAATTTGGACCCACCTCTTACTTCCCAAGTCTGGTCGGCTGGGCGTCCACTTTGCTCCGCTGAAGGGTGCTGTCATTGCTGCTCAATGCAGATGTTCCCTTGTTGCCATTTATTTCATGGTCAGATTCACCTAGAATTTAAATTCCTGGTTTGGAGAGGGGAAATAAACCAAAAAAAGCTAATTTAAATTTCCTATGGAAGGGCACTTCTGCATCGCTTGACATTGTCAAAATACAGATTGCCCCTTGGTGGCGGCAGTAGATGAGGCTAATTCTTCAAAGTAATTTCTACCCCCCGCGTGTTCCACCCAAATCCTAGGCAATCCACAGGATACATTCTGGAGGAAACGCGTGTCTGTATGATGAAAGTCAATATATGGTGTGCATGTTTATGGGTGTATTTCTTATGTGTTCTATATACATATTATGTGCATATATATATATTTTTTAAACACATTTGGGATAATTTAAATAGAGTTTTGATGTCTGCTCTTTCACTTAACATGTCATAAGTGTTTTCTCATGACGCTTCATATTTGTTAAAGTCATGGTGCTGATAACCACTCAATGTCATACACACACAGTATGGCTTTCATCATTTACTTAGTCATTTCCCTCGTGATGGGTTTATAGGTTGCTTCCGGCATGTTGCCGTGATAAATCATGCTTGTGACGAACCTACTTGCAGGTGGGGAATTGCTGGGATGGGCCTTTTTTAAGGGTGTTAATGCTCGGTTCCCTAATTGCTTCATGTATGTTAGATGTGCCAGCTCCTTGGGGCAGAAATCACATCTGTCTTGTCCCTGTGATGGCCCTACATGCCACAGTGCTGGATAGAAGACGGATGAGTAGTAGAGATAGATAGATAATCAGAGGAGTGGATGGGTAATAACCCTGCTTCTCCAGTAATTAATCTGACAAAGACTGGCCATATTGATGACACTTGAAAAGATCCATCCTCCCTCCCTCTCTCCCTCCCTCCTTGAGATATCATGACATATAAAAAGTATATATATTTAAGGTGTACAGTTTGAGGTTTTGATAGAAGTACTCATGTATACATAATCACAACCAAGCTAATTAACATATTCATTACCTCTACATAGCTACCGTGTGTGTGTGTGTGTGTGTGTGTGTGTGTTTAGATTTAATTTAAAATCTATCCTTTTAGGGGCGCCTGGGTGGCTCAGTCATTAAGTGTCTGCCTTTGGCTCAGGTCATGATCCCAGGGTCCTGGGATCGAGCCCCACATCGGGCTCCCTTCTCAGCCGGGAAGCCTGCTTCTCCCTCTCCCACTCCCCCTGCTTGTGTTCCCTCTCTTGCTGTCTCTTTCCCTGTCAAATAAATAAATAAGAAAAAATCTTAAAAAAAAAACCTATCCTCTTAGCAAATTACAGCATACAGTACAGGATTGTTAACTACGTCACATGCTCTGCATTAGATCTCCAGAGATTATTCATCTTGCAAGATTAAAACTTTGTACCCTTGGACCAACACCTCCCCACTTCCCCTCCCCAAATCCAGCCCCTGGCAATCACCATCCTACTCTCTGCTTCTATGAATCTGACTATTTTAGGTTCCACATGCTAGTGAGATCATGCAGTATTTTGTGGAGAACTTGCTTTCTGAACACCTTCTTGCAAAAAGGATGCATCAGATACATGGTTGTATCTTTTCCCCAATCTCCTAAATACAATTTTGTCATCCTCTTGGCAAGGAAAGCTCACCAAGGAGAGCCTTGAAAAGGGGCCCCAAAATTAAATCAATGGAAAGGTATATTTTGCAGAATTTGTAATGGCTGCAGAAAAAAAGTTACCAGGAGTTAGAGTCTATGGAGTGGTATTTATTTGCCTTTTATCCTCTAGCAATGCTAAATTTCAAAGACTGCTGCCTGGTTGCATTTCTTCTTGCATTGGCTCTAGGGTTGGAGATTTATTATTTCTGGGCAGGGAAGAAGCCCTGTCTGTTCTTGGCCTGATTTGCCAACCCTGGTTCCTGGTGGACTCTCTTTAGTTTGAAAAAGCTTGTTGGGTCTGTGTTTTCCCACTTGAAAGAAACAATCACACATAGCTATATATGTATACAAACACACATATACATGTTTATGTATATATTTTAATTAACAAAATAATACATAGTTGTAACAAATTTAAAGAAAGTAGAAACCTAGATGTCAAAAAGTGAAAACCTTGTTCTTTGGTTCTATAGACACACAAACATAATTATATGTACATTTATATATATATACACCACACATAAATATGGAACCTTAAAAAATCTAAGTAGGATCATATAGGATACATTTATAATTTTTTATACTTAGTGAGTGACATATTGTGGACATTTTTTCAAGTATGTCCATGTAGCTCTACCTTATTTTTCTTATGGTTGCCTATTACCCCACTGTAAAAATGTGTAGTTTATTTAGTCTCCTACTGATAAACCTTTAGAATGGTTTAAACTAATTAACAGTAATAATAGTAACAATAGCATGACTGATTGATATTTATGTGTGTCAGCACTGTTCTGAGCACTTCATATTTACTAACTCATTAATCTTTACAATAACCCAATAAGGTAGGACTTACATTTACATCCTATGTTATACGAGGGCATTTGAAGCACAGAGAGGTGAAAGTAACTTGCTGAAATGGCTCAGTTAGGAAGCAGCAGAGCCGGGATTCTGGCTCCAGCACATGCACTCCTAAGTTTGTGTGCAATGCAAAATGATGCTGAGTGAACATCCTTGTAGATAAATCAACCTGTATGCATTCCCACTAGGATTTCAGAAGGCAAGCGTTCTAGAAGTAGGAACGCTGAGCCATAGCTTCACCCTCATTTCAATCAGAATCACTGAGAGGTCTGAATGTTCATGTAGATGCTGCGTCTGGGAGGGATGGGAAGAAGCGTAACTATCAAACGATGAAGCCGTAGCAAGTCCTATACAATGGCACGCTGCTGGCTCAGGTGGGCTTTGCAGGTGCACAGCCTCCTCTCTGTGGGGCGACCTAACAAAGAGGGCTGTGATCCTCTGAACTTGTCTTTAGAGAGCTGGAGGAGGCGATGTTTTCTCTTGGGTGAGGTGGGGGGTGGGACTGTGCAGCCACAGACTGTTGGGTCAGTGGTACATGAGCTCCTTCCCGCTCAACACTGGCTGGTTTGGAAGATTCCTGAAGAACCCTGTGCTGAGTCCAGGGGCGGCCCAGCGTGGCCGGGGGCGGATTGCTGGGCCGGTGGGTGCAGACTTCACTGTGTTGGTTTCCTGGCTTCTCAGGGCCTGGCCTTTATTCTTCCTTTGCCTTCCTTTCTCACACAGAGATGGAGAGCCGGGGGATCGTGGATAGCCTGCAGAGGTTTTCCTCCCTCCCTGCCTATCTACCCACAAGCTTCCACATCGCCGACGCGGAGCAGGCCTTCTTCCTTAAGGAAGCCAACCAGGACATCACGAGGAACTCCAGTCTGCAGGCGCGGGTGGAGTCATTCTTTGTCTACCGGGCCAGGACCCCCCCGGCCATCAATGCCAGCTATGGCCCATTTTCAGCGGAGAAGACAATCCCGCGGGAGCTCTTGTTGACTTCCCCGGCCTTTGGAAACATGGAGAAGTTTCCCTTCAACTGGAAGCTGAAATCCCACATCCTCGACAGCTCCATCTACTCCAACAGACCCAAAGTGCAGACCTTATTTTACATCACTGGGATGGACTGGGACGACAGCGACCCCGAGGAAGATCTACCATGCGTCAAGATGTTCGCCTTCCCCGAGGCCAGGGAAGTGGCGGCCAGCTGTCGGCTCCAAGGGGACCCGGGGCTTTGTGTGGCCGAGCTGGAGCTGCTGCCTGAGTGGTTCAGCTCTGGGCTGGACCTGGAGCCCGAGGAGGAAATCCCGGCTCTGCTGGGGGGCACTGCGATGGAGCTCTTCTTCACACTGTACCCGGCTGACCAGGCTGGCCAGTGTCCACTGGAGGAGGATGGCAAGTGGGAGAACAACATCCACTCTGGCCAGGACAGCCCCCAGCAGGTGCCTCCAGCCCGGGAGAGGATTGGGAGTGTGGTGGTCTACCCAACTCAAGACGATCTGAAGTGGTCCCTGGTGAGCCTGGACGAGAACGTCGTCATCTCAGTACCCCTGAACCTCGTCCGGGAAGGGGACACGGCCACCTTTTTGGTCTCTCTGACCAGCAGCTCTGTGGCAGACCACTTCACTCTGAGGTAAGTGGCTTTGCTGGGTTGGACAGAATGGAAATCGACTTTTGGTCATCGATGAATTGTCAGTTAATAACGTGGTGTTGCTCATCTGCTGAGTATCCCGTGTAGTGAGGAAACTGACAAACGCGGAATAGAGACCCATGCAAGACAGCAAAGTAAAGCAGGGTATTTGGGCGTGGGCCCTGGGCATCTACGTTCTCTAAAAGCTCCCCAAGTCATTCTGTTGTGAAGCCAGGACTGAAAACAAGTAGGCTGGCAGGTAAGCTCTCTGGTGACGCTCCGAATCTGTCACTGCTGGCCTGGACTTGCTGCCCTAAGTGGCAACTTGGTAAATGAATTCCGCTTTCCAACTACAGGGAAGAGCTTTCCAAGACCATGTGTCCGACCTCTCAGGTTTTCATCAAGTGAAGAATGAGTAAAGAATCCTTTGGTAAAGCAAATAAGCAGTCTCTGTATGATGAAGATGCAGTTTTAGGATTGGAAAAAGTGGGCTACTTCTCTGTGTTGGGGGGGCAAACCTGTCTTTAGCTTATTGTGCTCACAAAGCTTCGTGGATGGCAGTGGCCCTGCCCCTGCTGGCTGTGTGCCCCGGGGCAAATCGTCTAACCTCTCTGGGCTTCTGTTCCCTCGCTGGTGATGGGGATTATGATGGGCTGGACGTCTCGGGAGTGCTGTGAGGATCAGTCAGGTTAGGGAAGGTCTTGGAACAGAGTCCTCACCGAGTGTTAGCCGGTGGTGGTTTCCCCGGTGCTCAGATGCTGAGGTGGTGCCATGTCAATGAGGCCTGTTTTTCTGGTTGCAGGTGAGAAGTGGGATTCATCGTAAGCCCAGTGTAGTCCCTTTGCTTCTGAGGGAGGCGACGTGCCAGATCACACCTGTTTGGAGGTGTGGATGCTGAGGCTCCGGCAGATCCCAGGCGGGTTTCCTAGACTGCAGGAAGCCCAGTTCCTGTTGGAAGCCTCTTGAGTTAGTTTTGGTGATAACGGAGTCAGAACTTGGCTTGGACCCGCCCTGTGCTAGTCACTCCAGTGGTCGGGCTGCGGTGGTCTAAGCCCAGTTCTTGCTCTGCAGAGATTCCTTCCTGCAAAGCAGCATCAGATGCTTGCTCTACACCAAGAACGGCAAAGGTATGGATTCTGCACTTGTGCGGATGAGCGTACCTTCTGCCCGGACAGACACTGCTAGTCGATTGCGGCGCTTCGGCTGTCCCTCTGCCACGGCAGACATTGCTAGTCGACTGCGGCGCTTCAGC